GCATAAAATAGTGAAAGAGATTTTAATAAAAATACTGGATTGCAGATACTGTTGCTGTAACACAGTCAGCCCTCCACATATTCATGTAGTGACCATTTGAAGTTACAACAGGACTGAAAAAAGTGGCTTAAGACAGGTTTTCACACTTACAACCACTGCAGCTTCCCCATAATTATGTGATCAAAATTAGGGCACTTGGCAACTGCCATGTATTTATGACAGTTGACTTTCCTGGCGTCATATGATCACTGTTTAGAATAGAATAGTTGGGCGGAACTTTGGAGGTCTTCTAGTCCAACCCCCTGCTTACCAACACCACTTCAGACAAATGGTTATCCAACCTCTTCTTTAAAACTTCCCCAGTGTTGGAGCATTCAGAAGTTCTGGAGGCAAGTTGTTCCACTAATTAATTTTTCTAACTGTCAGGAAAATTCTCCTTAGTTCTAAGTTGCTTCTCTCCTTGATTAGTTTCCATCCATTGCTTCTTGTCCTCCCCTCAGGTGCATTGGAGAATAGCTTGACTCCCTCTTCTTTGTGGCAGTCCCTGAGATTTGTAACCTTCCCAGCTGTCTTCCAAGAAGCAAAGTCAGCCAGAGAAGCCAGTTTAGCTTAATGACTGCATGATTCCCTTAACAACTGCAGCAAAAAAGGGCCACAACTCACTTAACTGCCTTAGCAGTGGAAATTTTGGGCTCAATTGTGCTCGTAAATTGAGGACTACCTGTATTTGCTGGGTATCCTGCTTTGTTGGGAACCAGAATATTTCCAATGTGGGGGGGGGAGGGGAACATGAGAATGGTAGGCTTCTCAAACCATGTGTTCTTTACGTGTATTAGAATTACAGCTGACATAATTCTCAGCCACATGACTGACAGTACTAGAAAGTGTAATCCCAAGAAATCTGGGACTTACTGGTGTAATCCAATATTACTTAAGTGAATGTTAGCTTTCACGGTGGGAATGCCTTTTGTTATCTTTCCTCTCTTCCCAAAAGATCCCAGTACACCTAAGGTTGTAAGAAGGAATTCCTCCTGTTGGCTATGCCATCAACTCTTGGTGACCACTCAAAACTTGCTAATGAATTTAACCGAGCATATGTTTTAACTACTTAGCAGACTTTGATGCTCTTTGAACAGTGTGTTCTGTATTGCACAATTGAAATGTATTTATATTACTTATATAACAGATTGAACCTTACTTGCCTTTTGAATTCACGTGTGAGGGAATGCTTCAGAGAATGAATGTGTTCATTGAGAAACAGGTAAGGTTTCTATATCAATAGTCATTACCTTTGTCCATAAGCATGCAACAATTTCACTTCTAAAAAGAAATCAAAATTTCTTTTTAATTGAGTTATTATTCAGAACCAAATACCGATTAGCTTTTAATTGTCTTCTATGAGCAGTTTTGATATACTGATCCTTTCTCTTCCTTTATTTTGAGCATACCTGAAGATTTAAGACAGGGATTCATGGAAATTTATTCCATGCCTGCACCTCTAATCAGATCTCTGCCAGGGGTCATATTTACCAATAGAATAATATGCTTTCAAAGCTACTTTCCCATTAAGAAAATGTTTACAGATTTTTGACATATTGAATTATCTGATTCAATTTCACCTATTAAATATTGAATAATTGCAAATATTGAAACCAATTACACACATTATATCCTACTTTAGATCCAAACTTGACTGTCTAGTTTAGCTGTTTTTCATTTCAGTAATTATTCCTTAGCTTCGGATGTTACAGTGTGCTGATTTATAGTTAAATATAACTATACTGTACTATAGACAAAACACTAATAATTTCTCTGCTCCAAATGTTAAGTAGGTTCATTATACATCCTATATTTTTTTTCCTTTTCTTTTTCTTTAGAATCAAATAATATGATTTCTTAGATAATACCAAGAGTCAAAACAAAGTGGGCATTGTAAAGCAATACTTTGTTCAATACAGATCCATGTAGGACAACTGGTATCACGGCAGTTCTTAGTAGTTGTACTGCACACAATTTCTGCACATGCTATTATCATTCAATCCAGAAATAGAAGATAGATCTGCTAGTGATTCAGCTCTATCTTGATCTCTGCATTTTTCATATGTGAAAAGTATTTGATTTTGTAAGCAGTCATTCTGCAGAATTCAGTAGTACCTTGTTTAGCAACAGGAAACCGGTGTCAGGGTCCGTTCAGGCAAAAAAAACAAATAAGACGACTAAGCACGTAGTTCGTGGTAAATGTAATCTTTATAAGCCTGTTCCGGTACTTCCAACAAACACACACTGCAAAACACAAATGAAAATAAGTCAAGCGTGTAATTCCATACTTCCCTCCACTATTTAAACCCTCCTGTGGCCCGCCCTCTCCTACATGCGCGCAATACACTCAAGATACTCCGATGACATGACAGACCATGCTGGTTTACATTGCCACACCTGCACTGGTGCCGTTCTGTATGAAAGTTACTGCAGGATCCGAAGGTCCTTCAAGCTCTTGGTGCAGCAGGGAAACAAGTGTGGTGTCAGGTTTCCGAAAGATTCCCTAAATGACAGCAGCAATCCA